TAGACTCTGTGTTAAGCATAGTTGTGGTTAAAAACTGGATTCAGGTCCTGATTTTATCATCAGTTGAAGAGTCAGTCACACAACTGCTCTGAGCTTCAGTTTCCTCATCTGTAAGATGGTATATTGATTCCCAGGTTTCTGGGAGAATTTGCTGAGAATCTGGACATGCAGTACATGGTAGGCTTTCAATAAATGTTTCAATAAATGTAGGAAATCTGGTGCATATTTAGGACTCCACTGTCTATTGTTCATACATGAACAGGGGAATGTGTGTATATGCAGGCATGAGCTTGGGAGCAAGAAGACCTGGCCTCAACAGCTGGTACCACCACTTATTAGCCATGTGATGTCGGAAAATTCATTTAGCTTTTCTGAACCCCAAATTCCCCAACTATGGAAATGGCAATAACATTAATAACTCCCAGGGTTGCTATGAGGATCAAGTGAGTTAATACAGGAAAATGTTTTATAAACCTCGAAGTCAAAAATACTGTAATCTACATTTCTGTAATTATTCTTTGTTCTATCAGTGTTTAATCAGGTAAGTTTTGTCTCTGTAACAGGACTCTAAGTCCCATTGGCTGTACCCATGATGGCATTTAACATGGACCTCAGCACAGCGATCATATACAATAAGAGTTTGCTGAAAATCTAACCCACAATGAGATATCATCTCATGCTTGTTAGGATGACTATTGCCAAAAAGACAAGAGGTAGTAAGTGTCAGCAAGGATGTGGAGAAAAGGGACCCCTTGTGCACTGTTGGTGGGAATGTAAATTGGTGCAGTCCCTCTGGAAAACAGTGGGAAAAACTGTCTCCTAGTTTATTTAACAAAGCCAAGGTAACTTAAATAGCAAAATCTGATAAAGACAGGAAAAAGAAAAAAAAAAACCTGCAAAGCAAATCCAACAGCATTTTAAAAGATTAAGCCTGGAGAGGGGCCAACATGGAGAAGTAGGGGGATCCATACTTCCAGTGTCTCTCAAACAAAGAAGGGCTGAAGCCAAAGGACTTTGAATCTCAAGAGTCTGGGAGGAAAAGAGACAGAGTCTACCAGGGAGAAACTGGGACAACCTGATGGGCCAGAGGTGGGTGATTGTGAACTGGTGTGGGGGGGGGTATAAAATGGACTGCATAGGCACAGAAGGGAGGGATCCCCTTCTGCGGAGAGACAAAGGGAAGAAAAGAGTGGCTGGGGAAGCGTAGGACTATATCTGGACAAGAGAAAAAAATCTCAGACTGGGGCAGAGAGGGATCCCATCTCTTACTGCAGGGCTTTCTTTGGACTGAGGCCAGCTGCCCTATTCACACACCTGGGGATGAGGGGAGCCACCTCTGGGTTTGGTGGTAGGTCAGTGGTGCAGTCCACAGCAGAAGAAACAAGTCTCCTCCCCTGAAGTGTTGTGGCACAGAACAAAACCAGCTAGGACCACATATCCAACAGCATCAAGAGGCACTTCCCCAGTACTGGGGTGCACAGAGCAGGAGTTTAAGTCCCAGCCAACGCTGGGGCACAGGAGTCTCGTCTGCTCCCGAGGCACAGTGATGATGGCTCCAAAGGAGTGATTTGGGACACTGGGTTGTGGAGAAGAGACTGGGGGGGTTGCCATTTTTCTCCCCATCACCACCAAGGCGGGGCCTCAGAGATCAGTCCGATGGACCCACAATGGAGGCGGGACCAGCCTGCATCAAACCACACCCCTCCATGCCAGTGTATCTACTGGAACAGGATAGACGCTGTGGAACCAGATGGACCCCTCTTCCAGACCAGTGCTGCTGCATTGCCTGGATCAATTCTAGAACAATTCTTCTCATATATAGTCTCCTTTCCATTTCTCCTTCTTATCTCTTTCCTCCTCTAGGCTGGGTACTCTGGTTATTTGTTTGTTTAAACAGACACATTTGAGGTTGGAGAGAAGATGGCGGCGTAGGAGGATGCTGGGCTCACCGCGCGTCCTGCTGATCACTTAGTTTCCACCTACACCTGCCTAAATAACCCAGAAAACCACCAGAGGATTAGCAGAACGGGGTCGCCGGAGCCAAGCGCAGACGAGAGGCCCACGGAAGAGGGTAGGAAGGGCGGCGAGGCGGTGCGCGCTCCACGGACTGGCGGGAGGGAGCCGGGGCGGAGGGGCGGCTCGCCAGCCAAGCAGAGCCCCCAAGTCTGGCTTGCAAAAAGCGGAGGGGCCTGACGGACTGTGTTCCGACAGCAAGCGCGACTTAGCGGCTGGGAGGTCATAAGTTAACAGCTCTGCTCAGAAAGCGGGAAGGCTGGAGGACAAAGGGAAGGAAAGCTGCTGAGCCCCAGGACGACAGAGCTCAGTTTGGTGGGGAACAAAGGCGCTCGCCAGCGCCATCTCCCCCGCCCATCCCCCAGCCAAAATCCCAAAGAGAACCAGTTCCTGCCAGGGAACTTGCTCGCTCCGCGCAAACACCCAACTCTGCGCTTCTGCGGAGCCAAACCTCCGGCAGAGGACCTGACTCCCTCCTGCTGCCACAGGGCCCCTCCTGAAGTGGATCACCTAAGGAGAAGCAAGCTAAGCCTGCCCCTCCTGCCCCTGTGCACCTTGCCTACCCACCCCAGCTAAGACGCCAGATCCCCAGCATCACAAGCCTGGCAGTGTGCAAGTAGCCCAGACGGGCCACCCACCCCACAGTGAATCCCGCCCCTAGGAGAGGGGAAGAGAAGGCACGCACCAGTCAGACTGTGGCCCCAGCAGTGGGCTGGGGACAAACATCAGGTCTGACTGTGGCTCCGCCCACCAACTCCAGTTATACACCACAGCACAGGGGAAGTGCCCTGCAGGTCCTCACCACGCCAGGGACTATCCAAAATGACCAAGCGGAAGAATTCCCCTCAGAAGAATCTCCAGGAAATAACAACAGCTAATGAGCTGATCAAAAAGGATTTAAATAATATAACAGAAAGTGAATTTAGAATAATAGTCATAAAATTAATCGCTGGGCTTGAAAACAGTATAGCTGACAGCAGAGAATCTCTTGCTACAGAGATCAAGGGACTAAGGAACAGTCACGAGGAGCTGAAAAACGCTTTAAACGAAATGCATAACAAAATGGAAACCACCACAGCTCGGATTGAAGAGGCAGAGGAGAGAATAGGTGAACTAGAAGATAAAGTTATGGAAAAAGAGGAAGCTGAGAAAAAGAGAGATAAAAAAAATCCAGGAGTATGAGGGGAAAATTAGAGAACTAAGTGATACACTAAAAAGAAATAATATACGCATAATTGGTATCCCAGAGGAGGAAGAGAGAGGGAAAGGTGCTGAAGGGGTACTTGAAGAAATAATAGCTGAGAACTTCCCTGAAGTGGGGAAGGAAAAAGGCATTGAAATCCAAGAGGCACAGAGAACTCCCTTCAGACGTAACTTGAATCGATCTTCTGCACGACATATCATAGTGAAACTGGCAAAATACAAGGATAAAGAGAAAATTCTGAAAGCAGCAAGGGGTAAACGTGCCCTCACATATAAAGGGAGACCTATAAGACTCGTGACTGATCTCTCTTTTGAAACTTGGCAGGCCAGAAAGAGTTGGCACGAGATTTTCAGTGTGCTAGACAGAAAAAATATGCAGCCGAGAATCCTTTATCCAGCAAGCCTGTCATTTAGAATAGAAGGAGAGATAAAGGTCTTCCCAAACAAACAAAAACTGAAGGAATTTGTCACCACTAAACCAGCCCTACAAGAGATCCTAAGGGGGACCCTGTGAGACAAAGTATCAGAGACATCACGACAAGCATAAAACATACAGACATCACAATGACTCTAAACCCATATCTTTCTATAATAACACTGAATGTAAATGGATTAAATGCGCCAACCAAAAGACATAGGGTATCAGAATGGATAAAAAAACAAGACCCATCTATTTGCTGTCTACAAGAGACTCATTTTAGACCTGAGGACACCTTTAGATTGAGAGTGAGGGGATGGAGAACTATTTATCATGCTACTGGAAGCCAAAAGAAAGCTGGAGTAGCCATACTTATATCAGACAAACTAGACTTTACATTAAAGGCTGTAACAAGAGATGAAGAAGGACATTATATAATAGTGACAGGGTCTATCCATCAGGAAGAGCTAACAATTATAAATGTCTATGCGCCGAATACCGGAGCGCCCAAATATATAAAGCAATTACTCATAAACACAAGCAACCTTATTGATAAGAATGTGGTAATTGCAGGGGACTTTAACACCCCACTTACAGAAATGGATAGATCATCTAGACACACGGTCAATAAAGAAACAAGGGCCCTGAATGAGACATTGGATCAGATGGACTTGACAGATCTATTTAGAAGTCTGCATCCCAAAGCAACAGAATATACTTTCTTCTCGAGTGCACATGGAACATTCTCCAAGATAGATCATATACTGGGTCACAAAACAGCCCTTCATAAGTTTACAAGAATTGAAATCATACCATGCATACTTTCAGACCACAATGCTATGAAGCTTGAAATCAACCACAGAAAAAAGTCTGGAAAACCTCCAAAAGCATGGAGGTTAAAGAACACCCTACTAACGAATGAGTGGGTCAACCAAGCAATTCGAGAAGAAATTAAAAAATATATGGAAACAAACGAAAATGAAAATACAACAATCCAAATGCTTTGGGATGCAGCGAAGGCAGTCCTGAGAGGAAAATACATTGCAATCCAGGCCTATCTCAAGAAACAAGAAAAATCCCAAATACAAAAATCTAACAACACACCTAAAGGAAATAGAAGCAGAACAGCAAAGGCAGCCTAAACCCAGCAGAAGAAGAGAAATAATAAAGATCAGAGCAGAAATAAACAATATAGAATCTAAAAAAACTGTAGAGCAGATCAACGAAACCAAGAGTTGTTTTTTTGAAAAAATAAACAAAATTGACAAACATCTAGCCAGGCTTCTCAAAGAGAAACGGGAGATGACCCAAATAGATAAAGTCATGAATGAAAATGGAATTATTACAACCAATCCCTCAGAGATACAAACAATTATCAGGGAATACTATGAAAAATTATATGCCAACAAATTGGACAACCTGGAAGAAATGGACAAATTCCTGAACACCCACACTCTTCCAAAACTCAATCAGGAGGAAATAGAAAGCTTGAACAGACCCATCACCAGCGAAGAAATTGAATCGGTTATCAAAAATCTCCCAACAAATAAGAGCCCAGGACCAGATGGCTTCCCAGGGGAGTTCTACCAGACGTTTAAAGCAGAGATAATACCTATCCTTCTCAAGCTATTCCAAGAAATAGAAAGGGAAGGAAAACTTCCAGACTCATTCTATGAAGCCAGTATTACTTTGATTCCTAAACCAGACAGAGACCCAGTAAAAAAAGAGAACTCCAGGCCAATATCCCTGATGAATATGGATGCAAAAATTCTCAATAAGATATTAGCAAATCGAATTCAGCGGCATATAAAAAGAATTATTCACCATGATCAAGTGGGATTCATTCCTGGGATGCAGGGCTGGTTCAACATTCGCAAATCAATCAACGTGATACATCACATTAACAAAAAAAAAAGAGAAGAACCATATGATCCTGTCAATCGATGCAGAAAAGGCCTTTGACAAAATCCAGCACCCTTTCTTAATAAAAACCCTTGAGAAAGTCGGAATAGAAGGAACATACTTAAACATCATAAAACCCATTTATGAAAAGCCCACAGCTAACATCATCCTCAACGGGGAAAAACTGAGAGCTTTTTCCCTGAGATCAGGAACACGACAGGGATGCCCACTCTCACCACTGTTGTTTAACATAGTGCTGGAAGTGCTAGCATCAGCAATCAGACAACAAAAGGAAATCAAAGGCATCAAAATTGGCAAAGATGAAGTCAAGCTTTCGCTTTTTGCAGATGACATGATATTATACATGGAAAATCCGACAGACTCCACCAAAAGTCTGCTACAACTGATACATGAATTCAGCAAAGTTGCAGGATACAAAATCAATGTACAGAAATCAGTTGCATTCTTATACACTAACAATGAGGCAACAGAAAGACAAATAAGGAAACTGATCCCATTCACAATTGCACCAAGAAGCATAAAATACCTAGGAATCAATCTAACCAAAGATGTAAAGGATCTGTATGCTGAAAACTATAGAAAGCTTATGAAGGTAATTGAAGAAGATTTAAAGAAATGGAAAGACATTCCCTGCTCATGGATTGGAAGAATAAATATTGTCAAAATGTCAATACTACCCAAAGCTATCTACACATTCAATGCAATCCCAATTAAAATTGCCCCAGCATTCTTCTCGAAACTAGAACAAGCCATCCTAAAATTCATATGGAACCACAAAAGGCCCCGAATAGCCAAAGTAATTTTGAAGAAGAAGACCAAAGCAGGAGGCATCACAATCCCAGACTTTAGCCTCTACTACAAAGCTGTCATCATCAAGACAGCATGGTATTGGCACAAAAACAGACACATAGACCAATGGAATAGAATAGACACCCCAGAACTAGACCCACAAACGTATGGCCAACTCATCTTTGACAAAGCAGGAAAGAACATCCAATGGAAAAAAGACAGTCTCTTTAACAAATGGTGCTGGGAGAACTGGACAGCAGCATGCAGAAGGTTGAAACTAGACCACTTTCTCACACCATTCACAAAAATAAACTCAAAATGGATCAAGGACCTGAATGTGAGACAGGAAACCATCAAAACCCTAGAGGAGAAAGCAGGAAAAGACCTCTCTGACCTCAGCCATAGCAATCTCTTACTCGACACATCCCCAAAGGCAAGGGAATTAAAAGCAAAAGTGAATTACTGGGACCTTATGAAGATAAAAAGCTTCTGCACAGCAAAGGAAACAACCAACAAAACGAAAAGGCAACCAACAGAATGGGAAAAGATATTTGCAAATGACATATCGGACAAAGGGCTAGTATCCAAAATCTATAAAGAGCTCACCAAACTCCACACCCGAAAAGCAAATAACCCAGTGAAGAAATGGGCAGAAAACATGAATAGACACTTCTCTAAAGAAGACATCCGGATGGCCAACAGGCACATGAAAAGATGTTCAGCGTCGCTCCTTATCAGGGAAATACAAATCAAAACCACACTCAGGTATCACCTCACGCCAGTCAGAGTGGCCAAAATGAACAAATCAGGAGACTATAGATGCTGGAGAGGATGTGGAGAAACGGGAACCCTCTTGCACTGTTGGTGGGAATGCAAATTGGTGTAGCCGCTCTGGAAAGCAGTGTGGAGGTTCCTCAGAAAATTAAAAATAGACCTACCCTATGACCCAGCAATAGCACTGCTAGGAATTTATCCAAGGGACACAGGAGTACTGATGCATAGGGGCACTTGTACCCCAATGTTCATAGCAGCACTCTCAACAATAGCCAAAATATGGAAAGAGCCTAAATGTCCATCAACTGATGAATGGATAAAGAAATTGTGGTTTATATACACTATGGAATACTACGTGGCAATGAGAAAAAATGAAATATGGCCTTTTGTAGCAACGTGGATGGAACTGGAGAGTGTGATGCTAAGTGAAATAAGCCATACAGAGAAAGACAGATACCATATGGTTTCACTCTTATGTGGATCCTGAGAAACTTAACAGGAACCCATGGGGGAGGGGAAGGAAAAAAAAAAAAAGAGGTTAGAGTGGGAGAGAGCCAAAGCATAAGAGACTGTTGAGAACTGAGAGCACACTGAGGGTTGATGGGGGGTGGGAGGGAGGAGAGGGTGGGTGATGGGTATTGAGGAGGGCACCTTTTGGGATGAGCACTGGGTGTTGTATGGAAACCAATTTGACAATAAATTTCATATAAAAAAAAAAACAGACACATTTAATCCATTCTCTTTGTACATGTTCCACTCCTCCTTCTTTACTTTCCTTTCTCTCTCTGGAATAATCAAGCCATATAGTTTGTCTGGGTAACTTTATCTCCCCCTCCTCCTTCCTTATATTCCTTTCTCTCTCTCTGAATTAACCTTTTTAGTCTCTCTGCCTGGTTAATGTTTATTTTTTCTTTTTCCCTGCCCCTGTCATTTCTCTCTTTGTATGTGGTCTTCCATCAGCACCGCCTCCACCCTGTTCTTGTAGCTGTTGTTTCTGGTTTTTTGCTTTTGTTTTTAGTTTTTTAGTTTTTGTTTGTTTTATTTGTTTGTGTGTTTGTTTGTTTATTTGTAGTGTGTTTTTGTTTCCTGTTTGTCTGTCTGTTTGTTTTCCTTTCCAGGGCTACTTCAAGGAACAAATCAAAGCATACCTTGTGAAGGGTCCAAAACATCACTACGAGCAGGGAAATAAAAAACTAAAGTCACAACAACAGAGAGCAAGTAACACTCTCCAAAAAACACCTCCTGTAGGGCTAGGCCCTGGACAGTGTATGAACACCCTTTAATATGGCAGTACTTGCAAGTGAAGAACACATAACAAGCTTTTAAAATTCATAAGGGAGAGAAAACTAGCCAAAATGACAAAACAGAAGAATTCTCCTTAAAAGAAATTCAAGGAAGAAATGACGGCTAAAGAATTGATCAAAACAGGTATAAACAACATAACTTAACAAGAATTTAGAATAATAACCATAAAATTAATCGCTGGGTGTTGTAGACTCTAAGTCTAAAGTTCTCTTTTGGCAGCAAAAGAGTGGACATAGGATTAAAGCAAGACATGGCTAATGTCTGGGAAAAGACAAGAGTCCTGAATAAGAGTCCTTTGCCCGTATTTATTAAGATCTGAAGGCTTACAAATGTGATGAATGTGTACAAAGAGACAAAGAAACTGGGAACATTAACTTGGGGACATGAAGGGAAAGGGGAGTTTTGAAGATGTACGGTGTTTGGGGTTTGGGTCAATGTAAAACAAAATCCTGGCGCCGGGCAGATGGGCAGATGGCTATTAATGGCAGACAGGAGGCGCTGTGTCTATTTAACTTAGCTATCCTAGGGGATGAGGCAGATAGGGGGAATAAACTCAGGGTTAACAAGACACCTTTTCTTTTGTTAACCATTTCTGCTCTGGGCTGCTTCACATCCAGTGCAGTGGTCTATAGTCCAATTCACCAGTTTATGTAACTTGGCACTTTCCTCCTGTGAGAGCAGATTTTCTGCTATAGTACTAAATTGGGGGGCATTTTCGCCCTGCATGCCTGATCTTGCTTACCTCAATATATCCTTGTATTGGGAGCCTTTGCTCCCATTCCTATTTTGGGCCTTTGCCCCTCCCTTTCTATCCTGGGGTCTCTGCAACCCCTTTATATGTTGGAGTGCCAATCAGGTTTACCCAAACTTGGGTGTGAGCATTCTATGGCTTTGTATTTCTATGCCTTGTTAACCCATTGTTTTATGCCCAGGGGATTACTAAGCTTATCACCAACAGCTGGGCTTCAAAAAAGCCTAGAAGATAGCAGAGAATCTATTGTTGTAGAGATAAAGGGACTAAAAAATCATCAAGATGAATTTAAAAATGCTATAAGTGAGGTGCAAAATAAAATGGAGGCAGCAACAGCGCAGATTGAAGAGGCAGAAGGAAGAATAGGTGAATTAGAAGATAAAATTATGGAAAAACATGAAGCTGAGAAAAATAGAGATAAAAAAAATCCAGGATCACGAGGGGAGAATTAGAGAACTAAGTGATTCAATCAAACAGAACAATATCCGTATCATAGGAATTCCAGAAGAAGAAGAAGAGAAAGGGGGTGAAGGTGTACTTCATAGCTGAGAACTCCAATCTGGGAGGAAACAGACATTGAAATCCAAGAGGCACAGAGAACTCCCTTCAGACAAAACTTGAATCCATCTTCTGCAAGACATATCGTAGTGAAACTGGCAAAATACAAAGATAAAGAGGAAAATCTGAAAGCAGCTAGGGATAAACAGGCTCTAACTTACAAAGGTAGACACATAAGAGTAGCAGCAGACCTATCTACTGAAACTTGGCAGCCCATAAAGGAATGGCAGGAGGGGCGCCTGGGTGGCGCAGTCGGTTAAGCGTCCGACTTCAACCAGGTCATGATCTCATGGTCAGTGAGTTCGAGCCCCGCGTCGGGCTCTGGGCTGATGGCTCAGAGCCTGGAGCCTGTTTCCGATTCTGTGTCTCCCTCTCTCTCTGCCCCTCGCCCGTTCATGCTCTGTCTCTCTCTGTCCCAAAAATAAATAAACGTTGAAAAAAAAAATTAAAAAAAAATAATAAAAAAAAAATTAAAAAAAAATTAAAAAAAAAAAAAGGAATGGCAGGAAATCTTCAATGTGATGAACAGAAAAAAATATACAGCCAAGAATCCTTTATCCAGCAAACCTGTCATTAAGAATAGAAGGAGAGATAAAGGTTTTCCCAAACAGACAAAAACTGAAGGAATTCATCACCACTAAACCAGCCCTACAAGAGATCCTAAGGGGGACCCTGTGAGTGAAATGTTTCAAGGACCACACAGTACCTATAGATAACACATAGATACCTATAGATAACCTATAGATAACACAATGACTCTAAACCCATATCTTTCCATAATAACACTGTAAATGGAGTAAATGCTCCAATCAAAAAACATATGGTATCAGAATGGATAAAAAAAAGAGACCCATCTATTTGCTGTCTATAAGAGATCCATTTTAGACCTGAGGACACCTTCAGATTGAAAGGAGGGGATGGGGAAATACCTACCATGCTACTGGAAATCAAAAGAAAGCTGCAGTAGCCATACTCATATCAGACAAACTAGACTTTAAATTAAAGGCTGTAACAAGAGATGAAGAAGGGCATTATATAATAATTACATGGTCTATGCATCAGGAGGAGCTAACAATTATAAATGTCTATGTGCCAAATACAGGAGCCCCCAAATATATAAAACAATTAATTGCAAATATAAGCAATCTTATTGGTAAGAATGTGGTAATTGCAGGGGACTTTAATACTCCACTTACAACAATGGAAAGATCATCTAGACAGAAAATCAGTAAAGAAACAATGGCCCTGAATGATACACTGGACCAGATGGGCTTGACAGATATTTAGAACTCTACACCCCAAAGCAGTAGAATACACTTTCTTCTCCAGTGCACATGAAACATTCTCCAAGATAGATCACATACTGGGTCACAAAACAGCCCTCAATAAATATAAAAGAATCGGGATCATACCATGCACATTTTCAGATCACAATGCTATGAAACTTGTAATTAACCACAGGAAAAATTCTGGAAAACCTCCAAAAGCATGGGGGTTAAAGAACATCCTAAAGAATGAATGGGTAAACCAAGCAATTAGAGAAGAAATTTAAAAAAAATATGGAAACAAATGAAAATGAAAATACATTGCAATTAAGGCCTAACTCAAGAAACAAGAAAAATACCAAAAACAAAATCTAACAGCACACCTAAAGGAACTAGAAGCAGAATAGCAAAGAAACCCCAAACCCAGCAGAAGAAGAGAATAATAAAGATCAGAGCAGAAATAAACAAAACATAATCCAAACAAACAAACACTAGCACAGATCAATGAAACCAAGAGTTGGTTTTTTGAAAAAATAACCAAAATGTAGAAACCTCTAGCCAGGCTTCTCAAAAAGAAAAGAGAGAGGACCAAAGTAGATAAAATCATGAATGTAAATGGATTTATTACAACCAATCCCTCAGAAATATAAGCAAGGAGTAATTATCAGAATTATCAGAAATATTATCAAGGAGTACTATGAAAAATTGTATTCCAAACAATATCCAAACTGGATAACCTGGACGAAATGGACAAGTTCCTAAACACCCACACACTACCAAAACTCAAATGGGAAGAAATAGAAAATTTGAACATTCCCATAACTAGTGAAGAAATTGAATCAGTTATTAAAAATCTCCCAACAATAAGAGTCCAGGACCAGATGGCTCCCCTGGGGAATTCTACCAGACATTTAAAGCAGAGTTAATACCTATCCTTCTCAAGCTGTTCCAAAAAATAGAAAGGGGAGGAAAACTTCTGGACTCATTCTATGAAACCAGCATTACTTTGATTCCCAAACCAGACAGAGACCCAGAAAAAAAAAAAAGGAACTACAGGCCAATATCCCTGATGAATATGGACGCAAAAATTCTCAATAAGATACTAGTGAATTGAATTCAACAGCATATAAAAAGAATTATTCACCATGATCAAGTGGGATTCATTCCTGGACTGCAGGGTTGGTTCAATGTTTGCAAATCAATCAATGTGATAGATCACATTAAAAAAAGAAAAGATGAGAACCTTATGATCCTGTCAATAGATGCAGAAAAATACAACATTGACAAAATACAGCATCCTTTCTTAATAAAAACCCTCAAGAAAGTCGCGATAGAAGGAACATAACTAAACATCATAAAATCCATTTATGAAAAGCCCACAGCTAATATCATCCTCAATAGGGAAAACCTGAGAGCTTTCCTTCTGAGATCAGGAACACGACAGGGATGTCCACTCTCACCACTGTTGTTAAACATAGTGTTGGAAGTCCTAGCATCAGCAATCAGACAACAAAATGAAATAAAAGACATCAAAATTAGCAAAGATAAAGTCACACTTTCACTTTTCGCAGAGGACAGGATACTCTACATGGGAAAACTGAAAGACTCCACTGAAAGGCTGCTAGAACTGATACATGAATTCAGCAAAGTTGCAGGGTATAAAATCAACGTACAGAAATCAGGTGCATTCCTATAGACAAATAATGAAGCAACAGAAAGGGAAATGAAGAAACTGATCCTATTCACAATTGCACTAAGAACCATAAAATACCTAAGAATTAACTTAACCAAATATATAAAAGATCGGTATGCTGAAAACTATAGAAAGCTTATGAAGGAAATTGAAGAAGACACAACGAAAGGGAAAAACATCCCATGCCCATGGATTGGAAGAATAAATGTTGTTAAAATGTCAATACTACCCAAAGCAATCTACACATTTAATGCAACCCAATCAAAATTGCACCAGCATTCTTCTCAAAGCTAGAACAAACAATCCTGAAATTTTTATGGCACCACAGAAAACCCAAATAGGCAAAGTAATATTGAAGATGAAAATCAAAGCAGGAGGCATCACAATCCCAGACTTTAGCCTCTACTACAAACTGTAATCATCAAGGCAGTATGGTACTGGCACAAAGACAGACACATAGACCAATGGAATAGAATAGAGACCCCAGAATTGGACTCACAAATGTATGGCCAACTAATCTTTGACAAAGCAGGAAAGAGTATCCAATGGAAAAAAAGACAGTCTCTTTAACAAATGGTGCTGGGAGAACTAGACAGCAACATGCAGAAGAATGAAACTAGGCCACTTTCTTACATCATACACAAAAATAAACTCAAAATGGATGAAGGACCTGAAGAACCTGAAGGACCTGAATGTGAGACAGGAAACCATCAAAACCCTAGAGGAGAAAGCAGGCCTCAGCCACAGCAATTTCTTAGTTGACACACCTCCAAAAGCAAGGGAATTAAAAGCAAAAATGAACTATTGGGACCTCATCAAGATACAAAGCTTCTGCACTGCAAAGGAAACAATCAACAAAACTAAAAGGCAATCGACAGAATGGGGAAAGATATTTGCAAATGACATATTGGATAAAGGACTAGTATCCAAAAATCTATAAAGAACTCACCGAACTCCACACCAGAAAAACAACTAATCCAGTGAAGAAATGGGCAGAAGACATGAATAGACACTTTTCCAAAGAAGACATCCAGATGGCCAATAGGCACATGAAAATATGCTCAGTGTCACTCATCATCAGGGAAATACAAATCAAAACCACACTCAGATACCACCTCACGCTGGTCAGAGTGGCTAACAGAATAAATCAGGAAACTATAGAGGCTGGCAAGGATGTGAAGAAATGGGAACCCTCTTGCACTGCTGGTGGGAATGCAAACTGGTGTAGCCGCTCTGGAGAACAGTGTGGAGTTTCCTCAAAAAATTAAAAATAGAACTACCCTATGACCCAGCAATAGCACTGCTAGGAATTTACCCAAGGGATACAGGAGTGCTGATACATAGGGGCACTTGTACCCCAATGTTTATAGCAACACTTTCAACAATGGCCAAATTATGGAAAAAGCCTAACTTTCCATCAACTGATGAATGGATAAAGAGATGTGGTTTGTACATAAATGGAATACTACTTGTTAATGAAAAAGAATGAAATCTGGCCATTTGCAGCAATGTGGATGGAAGTGGATGGTATTATGCTAATGGAAATAAGCCAGGCAGAGAAAGACAGATACCATATGTTTTCACTCACGTGGATCTTGAGAAACTTAACAGAAGACCATGAGGGAGGGAAAGGGGGAAAGAAGTTACAGGGAGGGACGGTGGCAAACCATAAGAGACTCTTAAATACTGAGAACAAACTGAGGATTGGTGGGGGGTGAGGGAGAGGGGAAAGTGAGTGATGGGCATGGAGGAGGGCTCTTGTTGGGATGAGCACTGGGTGTTGTATGGAAACCAATTTGGCAATAAATTATATTTCAAAAAATAAAAAATATAAAAAATAGTAGTTGAACAACACACAGAAAAACTTGTTTACAATAAAAAGTTTTTTCCACAAAAAAATAAATAAATAAAAATAAAAGATTAAGTCTGGTAATAACCGGGGTTCCTTGCACTGGGCATCAAGCTGGGGAATTGCTTGGACTCTGGACTCAGACTGCCAGGGTTCTTGCCTAACTGTGCTTCCTGCCAGTGTCAGGAACTTGAGTTTGCCATGTCACCTCTCTATGCATTGTGAAACAAGACTGGTAATAGGACCGACTTCCTAGTAAAGATTAAGGTAATTCATGTACTGAGTATCTGCGCATAGGCTTAGAGATACCATATGACCATCATCAAAGACAGCCATGCCATGTAGTCCAGACAATTATCTTTAATAGAAACCTCTAGTTTTACTATTTTGTTGGGAAACCAGGATCTTTTGAACAGCATTCTGTGATCTAGAATATGAGGGACAAATAGAGAATGCTTGAATCTTATGTTTTGTCATCCATTCCCTTTGTGGAAACAAGCACTACTATTCTCAGTGAAAGAAATCTCTTCACAAAATTCCATCCTATGGCTCTCAAAATGGCACTAAGACACTAGTGTCACTGGACCACTTAGTTTGTGGCCCTGTGTTCCCTGTTGGAAAGGTTGTCTGATCAAGTGTGAAGCTCTAGTCACATTTCTGGTAGTAAAGCAGCCCTGAACATTTTAGCCCTGGGCTTGTCCTGGCAGTACTTGTGCATCTTTCTCTTGGGTTGTGTGATAAAGATCCTTTTGAGAGAAGAGGTCAGTGTTTTAGGTAGCAGAGGTCTTGAAACCATTGCCAAAAGCCAGGATATTTGGCCAGAGGAATGTCTATTTTCTTCTTTTTTCTAGTGGCAGACAGTCTTGAGCCAACAAAGGGGTGTGTAATCAGAGTCACAATTGAGGGCTTCCTAGACTCTGGTTTCTCAGTGATAAGGGAGCCTCAGGTCAGCTGAGGACAAAGTGCAAGCTAGGGCAACCTCCTCCCACCCCCTGCTGCTAGGTGAGATGTCTGTGATATTCCTCAGGCACTCTTGGTTGCCCAAGGCCAAAGAAAGGAAAGAAAACAAATGGCGAACTAACAGAGATCACAGTCACACAGGACATGGGTCTCCATCAGTTTACAAATATCTTAGTAAATTACAAGAAAAAGGCAATCTTATCAATCGCTTAATCTCCAGAAACCTATAAACTCAGTTTCCTGGAGTCCCAACATCACCCCTCCATGATATGGGGAACAAAGGCAAGAAGGAAATGACAGGTAAAATTAAGTTTCCTCATAACCTGCAGCCCATTGGTAGATACTTGAGGCTGGCAGAGTAAAAACTTTCTCCAGGAACTCCCTACTGTCTTAATTTAATGTTTTGCTACAGGGAAAAACAACCTTAGCTTGACAATAGCTAGGACTCCAGTATCTTGTGAATCTTCCTTAGCATATGAAAATCCCATTGAAAATTTCCCCTTGACTTTACCTCCCCCAACTCCCAAATATATAACCACAGGGTCCGATGCAGCTCTTTCTGCCCGCAGGTCCTGTCCCATGCCTTAATAAAATACATTTTTGCACCAAAGACGTCTTCAAGTATTCTTTCTTGGTCCATTGGCTCCTGATCCCCCACTATCACTGCAAAAATCTCATCACCCGGGACTGGCTGTCCTGGATAGAAGGACTTAACAGGGATGGGAGAAGCTGAGCTGTCACACTTTCTGACAGCATTTGCATCAGTGCATAAGAGAAAAAGAAAAAGAAGCAATGTCAAAAAGATCAACTAGCTACAAAATACATCTGAACACACTTTGGGGGAAAGATTATCCACAAATAGGAGAACACTGTTCTACGCAAGTGTCACCAGAGCTCCAAAGGCCAATGGCCAGAGCTACCAGGAGGGGCATGCTCTGTCTCTGACCACTAGGTGGTAGCTCAGCCCCTGACTGAGAAGAGAGAAGGCACAGACTCCCAACTAGAGGAGGCGGCGACAGAGAGGCGGGCCTGCTAGGCTGCATAAAGGCAAGGGAACTGTGACTGAGGCTCAAGCTGCCTTAGCACTTTGTTCAGAAGATCCTATCCTAGGGTGATGGCATTTAGCCTGTGGATGCCAGGTACCCAGGCTGAGCTAGCGTCCCCAGTGAAGAGCCCAAGGGCTGCTGTGCAAGAGAAGAAGCACGAGGGAGCACTGGTAAATAGCCAAACTTTCTATTAAAATTGCCTTGAAAGGAATGCAAAATCACGTCTAACCTACATGTAGGAGGCAGGTAACTGGTTATTTAAACA